CATACGGTTGCAACATGTATTCTGAGGCAGCGGCTTGTATTATTCTCTTTGCTACGCCTTTCGTTTGTTGATTGAGAGTGCCAAACAAAAAACTTCACTTGGACGATACTTTTCGGGCGTTCGCTGGTGTGACGTATCACTCAAGTTCTAATTAAATAATATATCCATTCGCTTCGGTGTCCACAAATGCGCTACTGTATCTGCAATAGAGTGAGGAAAACAGCAAAGATTGCGCTGCAGCTGTGTAATCAGAGCTTCTTTGCAGGCGCTAAGACTTGCGCTCAATTTGTCAAATCAGATGGGCTCCGTGGCTGTGCAGCGCTACGTTTGACGATCTTTGAGCAGGGCTCCTCGCAATCGAAGCGTCATTCCACAAGTTCCAGCGTCGCGCACATATCACTCAAGTCTGCCATGCGTGCGCTTTACCTGTCTGCCGTCTGCTGCCTCTTTGGTCAAGCTCTCGCTTGGGACCAGCAACCCGACGGCTACGAAGTGATCGACGGTCCCGAAGGACCTGAAGCCGTGGACGCTTGGCGTCGTGACTGGACAGCATGGAAGAAGATGGAGCTGATCACCAACCGCTACGACCCGAAAGACACCTGCAACGTGTACAACATCCAGAAAACTCAGTGGACACAGCAGAATTTCGTCCAGACATTCCTCATGATGAACGACCGCTCCATCTATGACCGTGAGACGCAGCAGTACACCGTGGACAAGTACGTGGACGAGATGCAGAGTCGCGTAGGCCCCATCGACAGTGTATTGATCTGGCCTGCATACCCAAACATCGGAGTTGACAACCGGAACCAATGGGATCTACTACGAGACCTCCCGGGTGGTGTCGAAGGCGTCAAAGGAGTCATCGCCGACTTCCATCGTCGAGGCATTCGAGTCATCATCCCGTACAATCCCTGGGACATCGGGACTCGTGACGAGTCTGGCCTGGAAGATATGGTACGCATGTACAATGCCGATATCACGACGCTAACTGAGACGATCCCTGAGCTCCAAGCTGACGGATTCAACGGTGACACAATGTACGGCGTTCCTAAGGCCTTCTACAACTGTAGCAACCCGTTGGTAGCAGCTCCCGAAGGCGGTGTACCCACTGCATATATAAGCCATAACCCGATGAGTTGGGGGTACTTCTTCGGCTACTCACACTTCCCACCCGTAGCACGAGCCAAGTTCCTGGAATCGAGACACATGGTGCAGATCTGTGCACGTTGGTCACTCGATCGAACCGCCGAATTGTTGACTGCTTTCTTCAATGGCGCCGGTTACGTGGTCTGGGAGAATGTATGGGGTATCTGGAATGCCATGACGGAGAGAGAAGATGAGACTGCCAAGCGAATGTTTGCCATTCTCCGCAAGTTTGGAACGATCGTGTCGACAGGTCAGTGGACGCCGTATTATGCAATGAAGGGCGATGGGTTGTTTGCCAGTGCTTTCACTCTTAGCACTGAGTCGCTTTACACAGTGATCAGTACAGTGGAGAAAGAAATGACGTACGAATTGCCACTCCCTGCTGACCAATCTGGAGACGAGATTCGCATCTATGACGTTTACCACGGAGTCGAACTGAAGAAACAGACCGGAAACAGCACAAACGGTACCGTCGTGAAGGTGATGTTAGAGCCTCGTGCGTTTGGTGCAGTCTACGTCACAAAATCCGGCAACGACTTGACCGAATTCCTCAACCAGATGCAAGCCATGACCACCAAACCTCTGGCCAAGTACTCCACGACGAGGAGCTTACTTCAACAACAGCTTATCCGAAGTAGCACCAGCAATACCTCGACTTCTACGGATAATTCCGAAGATATGGTGCGTGTATCTGGAACTGCCAACTGGTGGTTCAACGTCAGTGGCGTACAGATCGAGCCCGTCTCGGCCTGGACTCCAAACTTTGCTCAGTACGGAACTGGAGTGCAGTTTCCCTGGGAGAATCGTCCTTGGAATAATCACTCGACGAGGTTGTTTGTCCAGGACTTTATGCTCGACAAGCACCCAGTGACCAACGCTCAGTACTCGACCTTTCTGAAGGCCAGTGGCTACAGTCCCAAGTCGCTGGACAGATTTTTGTTGCACTGGGTAAGCCGTGAAGGTGCCCCAGCTTCATGGAACATTCCTGCTGGTCTGGAACAAAGTCCTGTTGTAAACGTTGCGTTAGAAGACGCTCAAGCTTACGCCAATTTTTACAATAAGCGTCTTCCGCACGATTGGGAATGGCAGTACGTCGCTTCAAACGGTGATAACTACGATGCGTACCCGTGGGGTTCTGAATACGACAGTACAAAGGTGCCAAAGGTTTACCATGGCAAGGAATTGCCTATGCTGAGTTCCGTGGGCTCGTACGAGAGCTCCAGTTCGACAAAATTCCAAGTGGAAGACCTCGTTGGTTACGTGTGGCAGATGACTGACCAGTTTTGCGACTCTCACACGTGTGGAGTTCTGCTTCGGGGAGGAAGCAGCTACCACCCGATCTCGGCCACGCACAGCGACCCGAACTGGTATTTCCCACAAGCTCTGGATGTGCAGCATCACAACCGCTTCCTCATGATCAGCGAAGGCTACGACCGCTCTCCCATGGTGGGTTTCCGCTGTGCGAAGAGCATCACTCCTTCTCGTGAATTTGACATTGTCGAATGAGTGGTGACGAATTCAAACATTTCTGGAGGAAAAGCGTTTTCATTTTGGCCACTCATTCATAGATGGCAGTGGAACTTAAACAGGCTCAAGACACATTTTCCTTTCATAATTTTTTTTACCGGGATAGCAGTATGCCCCAGATCGAATCAACTTGAAATCGGTAAGTTGAAACCGGTTTACTGAATCCGGTTTGCGGAAATGCTTGCGGAAGTGCTTCGGCTCTTGATCTCGATCTACTTCAAGGCTGTGTGGCAAGTTGCCACTGGCAACACACATCTTTTGCTTCGAAATATGAGCCGATTCCCACGACAAGACGGTGCCAATCAAGTTGCAAAACTGGTCAAGTGCAAAGGAACTACGATATTGCATGCGCTGATGTTCCGTTGCTTGCAGGACAGAAACAGCTTTATTGTACTGGCCACAATAGTTTGTACCAAAGATTGTTACACTACAGCCTCTATCGCTCATTCTCCGCTAAAATTAGTCGGTAGATAGTGAAACGACCCTCAAAATAATGCTACAACAATTATCTTTCATTCTATACTATAATGAAATCGAACAAGCAACTGTAGCGAGTGTTACACTTGGTCAAACATCGATCGGCAAATCAAAGAATGCCCACATCGCTCTTATCGAAAGTGGTGCTAAAGTTGTAATAAAACTTGCCGGATCAGCGCAAATCGCATTTTGGCAGTCTAATGCGCGTAGTTTCGCTGCAATTGGAGCAGTACTTCGCCCAAGACAGTCTCGAGTTCATGACAAGCTCCTTGCAAAAGATAGGTTTCAGAAGCACTGTGAAATCAAATTTAATGAATATACATCTTATACAGGCACCTCTATCTTCCGATAGAAATATGTTGAGATTTTAGGTGTCGTACAAGGTTGTGCGATTGTAACCAAGCAGAGAACACGAGACGGGTTTGCGTATGTTTGGGCATTTGAGCCCATAGAGTACCCCAATTATGGACTGTCATCAGCTCACCCTATTTGAGCCCTTCCCCAAAATTTTGAGCC